CAAACTCACAAAGTACACTATTTTAAAATCACTTTTCTTTAAATACCTGGGCAGCACCGGGCACTCCACAGTAGCACCCTATAGTTCAAGCAGACCTTGTTGCAGAAGAAAGACTCAGCTGCAAGAGGGAGTCCTTTATACTTCTCCTGCCTAGGAGGAGCCATTGGCCAGCCAGGTCAGATGACTGCAGTTATCTTGGTCACCACATGGCACTGTGGAATTCCGTCTTTCACCAACATGAATTCCCATTATAAAGTTTACAGCCTGTTTTCCTGAAATGCTTTTTTGATGTGTAAAGATCCAGCCCTAAGCAGTTTCAGCTCATCATTGTCTGGAGGAAACGAGCCTCCAGGCTTCTCAGTTCAGTACTATCAACAGTTTGTTCTCTACAGTGCTCTCAATCCTGGCTTCTTTCTTCTGATTTCATCTCTTTCTTCTGACTTTAATGCCAACTGTATTCCTATTTGCCCGCTTTACTTACATGCATGATGTCACCTCGCCCAGGCCACCATCTTGGACAGTGCGGTAGAGTTTTGATTCTGTTGCCCAATAATATTTAGGTTTCTTTTTTCTTCCTGAAGTTTGTATATTTCTTTCCCATTTTAAGTTTGTTTCCTGGGCTGAGTTTTTTACCATCCCACAAGAATAACCTCTAAACTGAGAGCAATAATTTTACATCCAACAATGAAACACAAAATGGCTGAATCCTTCACAACATCCATGATCTCAAACAGTCTAAAGTCTATTGAAAAACTGATCCAGGTCTATTAATACTTTCCCAAAATTTGAATTTCAGTAAAATACTTCTCTTTCAGCAATAAAGAACATGGAAAGAGGGTCAGACAAGCACACATACCACTATTTGTACATAAAAGCAAAAAATAGCCACCACTCCTTCCAAACTTGAGAATAAGGAAGGGAAAAAGAGGATGAGGCAATTATGAAGGAAAGGCTGTGTGTTCCTTCCTTATTTATTTTACTTTATTTCATAACATTTATATACTGCTTAATTCTTAAGAAAAACCCCAAAGCAGTTTACAAAAAGAAAAAACCACACACAATAAAACTGTGAGTAGAAAAGTAGAAAACCATAAAACAACTCTTTGAATCATTCAAGACATAAGATAAACAATAAACTAAAAACCGATTAAAGCATATATTCATATTCTACACATCCAGATAGGCTTGTCTAAACAAAATGTATCCCCCCCCCGCAGAAGAAGTAGATACAAAAATATTAACTTGCGAGACCCAGCATCAGAGGTTGGCATAGGTTTTAAAAAATTATTATTAAAGCTATGCATTGGATTTTAAACATTATATAAACTTATCCAGTAGAAAATAAAATGGAGGAGGCAACAGCAAACAGACATTGCTGGCACAGTTGGGCATCTGCCAAGGCCATAGACTGGCAAGCACTGTGGAAGCTGTTGTCTGGTGATGGGTTTTCTACCTGCCTCGGAAGAAGCATCCCCAAAAGTGCTGCTTCTCTCTCAGGCATCTAACTTACAATTGTAACTAGGATATTGCTCCAGAGGAACACAGGGAGGAAGCCCAGTTCAAGGGGACCTGTCTTGGTCAGGCCAAAGGAACACAGCAAAACCACAGTGCTTCCTCTACTGCTGTCGTTTGCTTCTCCTGACAGGGAATGGTGATCAGTAACCATATCCACCTGACAAAACAAAAAAATTCCTTCCAGTAGCACCTCAAAGGCCAACTAATACACAGTGTGTATCTGAAGAAGTGTGCATGCACACGAAAGCTCATACCAAGAACTAACTTAGTTGGTCTTTGAGGTGCTACTGGAAGGAATTTTTTTGTTTTGACTATGGCAGACCAACACGGCTACCTATCTGTAACATATCCACCTGAGATACTGTTTAAGAACAGTAGCTTTGAAAATGAGGGAGTGGAATGTAGTTCCGCTGGTCTGTGGCCTTGGAGGTTGACCCAGCAAGACTCCCCAAACTTGGACCACCTCTACAAATAACAGGATTCTATGGCATGAAGAGTGGTCTAAAAGTGCAAAAAATAATAGTAAGTTTTTACAATTATGTATTGCAATCTAGAACTGTCAGGATTGCATTCTGTCAGTGCAAGGATTTCACTTTGCACAGCAAAGCATTCTCTCCCCTCTCTTGTGCAGCCCATAAATCTGTTCTGGGTCCCCCCCCAACCATCTGGACCAGATTTGGAGAGGGTGTTGAGGCACATGGTGGGGAAGGAGAGGTAGGGAGACTCCTACTGCATGAACAGAAGTCATTCTGCTCACACAATTATTCAGTTGAATGCCACCCTTATTTTCATATCATGAGCAATGGCAGCATGTGACATGAGCAGATTAAAGGAAAAATATCAATTAATGGCTCTCACATATTACATGGCAACAAATCCAGATTTGCCTCCTAAAATACAATCAACAGGAGCCCACAGCTAATCCTGCCTCCATTGGTGGTGTGGACACAGGAAAGTGACTGCTTTCAGATTTTGGAACTCCCTAGAGAAGCCTTTTATTGAGGGTGAAAGAGGAGACCAAAATATGGTCTGAAGCTCAACATCAAAAAAACGAAGATCATGGCCACTGGTCCCATCACCTCCTGGCTAATAGAAGGGGAAGAAATGGAGGCAGTGAGAGATTTTACTTTCTTGGGCTCCATGATCACTGCAGATGGTGACAGCAGTCACGAAATTAAAAGACGCCTGCTTCTTGGGAGAAAAGCAATGACAAACCTAGAAAAGCATCTTAAAAAGTAGAGACATCACCTTGCCGACAAAGGTCCGTATAGTAAAAGCTACAGTTTCCCCAGTAGTGATGTATGGAAGTGAGAGCTGGACCATAAAGAAGGCTGATCGCCGAAGAATTGATGCTTTTGAATTATGGTGCTGGAGGAGACTCTTGAGAGTCCCATGGACTGCAAGAAAATCAAACCTATCCATTCTGAAGGAAATCAGCCCTGAGTGCTCACTGGAAGGACAGATCCTGAAGAGAAGAGAAGAGAAGACTCCCTGGAAAAGACCCTGATGTGGGGAAAGATGGAGGGCACAAGGAGAAGGGGACGACAGAGGACGAGATGGTTGGACGGTGTTCTCGAAGCTACCAGCATGAGTTTGACCAAACTGTGGGAGGCAGTGGAAGACAGAAGTGCCTGGCGTGCTCTGGTCCATGGGGGTCACGAAGCGTCGCACGACTAAACAACTAAATAACAACAACAAGAGAAGCTAGATTGGCTCCATCCCTCCTTGTCTTTCTGCTGGAAGGTGAAGACTTTCTTGTTCCAACCGGCTTTGGAAACTGGCTGCTTTTAATGAAACGGCTGGTGTAATGCTGTGTGTGTGTGTGTGTGTGTGTGTGTGTATAGATGTTTACTTGTTTTTTAATTATTGTTTTTCCTGTGTTTTAGCAATTCTTGTTTTTACCTGTAAGCTGCTTTTGTAAGCTGCTTTGAGTTCCTGTCAGAGAAAAAGGTGGAATGATGATGATGATGTGTCTGATGTGTGTTGACAACCACATGCAGATCAAATTGACATGTGGATTTAACCCTTGTACTGCATGCATTATACAGTCGTACCTCAGGTTACAGATGCTTCAGTTTACATACGCTTGAGGTTACAGACTCCACTGTCCCAGAAATAGTACCTCGGGTTAAGAACCTTGCTTCAGGATGAGAACAGAAATTGTGCGGCAGCAGCACAGCGGCAGCAGGAGGTCCCATTAGCTAAAGTGGCACCTCAGGTTAAGAACAGTTTCAGGTTAAGAATGGACCTCCAGAACGAATTAAGTTCTTAACCTGAGGTACCACTGTATTTTAAAATGATTAACTTTAGAAGAAGCTACGATGAATTTATGCAGGGTATTCAGAGAAGCAAAGGAAAATAAATGCAATTGTAAGAGAAAGTTAAGCACTTCATGCAAAAGTAAAAGGTTTATTAATCAAATGGGGGCAACATCTGATTAAAATACAGAATGTAATAATTTGCTTCTCCATTTCAAAATTCAGTCACAAGGGGTCACTGTTGCCTAAGGAAATGTTTTAAGAACAGAGAGAATTCATAGCTCCTCCCTTAGAGAGCCTGAAAATCCTGCCTGTGAGATTCACAATAGGGATATCACACACCAGATGCAAGACTACAGGAATCTATTCAAGTAATTACACCAACCCTGATGAGCTCTTTGGACCCTGCTCTTCCCTTCTTCAAGAAAGGTGATCTTTAAAGGAGAGATGCCACTGGTGGGATTTGTGTCTGTATTTGCAATGGTTCCTTGGCAGAATCCTTCTGTGGTAAAGCAGCTGCTGCAGCTGGTTCTTCTCCACACCGCCTGGGAGATGGGGAGCGGCCAGCTCCATTATTCTGTGCCGGAGGAATCTCAGCATGGCACCTTTGTGGGTCGCATCACTCAGGATCTTGGGCTGGATGTAAGTGAGCTGGTGCCTCGGATGTTCCAGATGGTGTCTAGAGGACATGAAGACTATTTTGAGGTAAATGTGCAAAATGGAATCTTGTTTGTGAATTCCCGGATAGACAGGGAGGAGCTTTGCAACAAGGACCCTGTGTGCTCCATTCACCTGGAGATGATTGTGGATAAACCTCTGAGGGTCTTCCATGTGGAAGTGGAGATCAAGGACATAAATGACAATGCTCCTCTTTTTTCAGTAAATGAACAGAATTTGACTATTGCAGAATCAGGTTTACCAGGTTTCCGTTTCCTGTTAGCTGGTGCCTCTGATGCAGATACAGATGCCAATGCTTTGCTGACCTACAAGCTCAGCCCTAATGACTATTTCATTCTTGAATCGGGAGGGGATGAGGACCAGAGTAAATCTCCAGTACTTATACTGAAAACTCCACTTGACAGAGAGAAGGCTCCTGTGCATCGCTTGGTGCTCACAGCCGCTGATGGAGGCAAACCAGAGCTCACAGGCACAGTCCAGCTGGTGATCAATGTCCTGGATGCAAATGACAACCCTCCTGTATTTAACCAATCCACTTACAAGGTAAAACTATGGAAAATGCAGCTAATGGAACAACGGCTATTAAACTGAATGCTACAGATTTAGATGAAGGGATTAATGGGGAAATCACTTATTTTTTTAGTAATAATGTACCACCCCGTTTCACAAAGATATTTAGCATAAATGCCAACACAGGTGAGGTCAGAGTGATTGGGAAAGTCGATTTTGAAGACATTAATCTATATGACCTTCAAATTGTTGCAGAAGATAAAGGCAGTCTGCCTTTGTCTGGACACTGTAAGGTTCTCATTGAGGTGTTAGACATGAACGACAACGTTCCAGAAGTTTCTGTGACTTCTCTTGCTGTGCCAGTGCCAGAGGACTCTCCTCCAGGGACAGTGGTGGCCCTCGTCAGCGTCTCGGACAGGGACTCTGAAGCCAATGGGCAAGTGAGTTGCTCCCTGTGGCCCCCTGGGCTGCCTTTCAAATTAGCATCGACATTTAAGAACTACTACTCCTTAACTCTAGCAGAGCCTTTGGATCGGGAGCGGGTGGCTGAGTACAGCTTGGTAGTGACAGCTCAAGATCAAGGCGTTCCACCATTGTCTGCTAGCAGCAGCCTCTTAGTTCCTATCCGTGATGTAAATGACAATGCTCCAGCTTTCACACAGCCCTCCTACATGGTCTTTGTGAAGGAGAATAATCCACCGGGAGCCCACATCTTCACTGTGTCTGCCTCAGACCCGGATGTGGCCGAGAATGCTCTAGTCAGCTACTGGATTGATGAGACACTCTGGCCCATTGACAAGCTACATCTCAGTGCACTCGGAGAGTGGGAAGGTCTATGCTTTGCAACCCTTGGACTATGAGGACATAAAGCTTCTGGAGTTCCAAGTGAGGGCCAAGGATGCAGGGCTGCCCTCCTTGTGTGGCAACACTACAGTTCAGGTGTTTGTGGTGGATGAGAATGACAATGCGCCTACAGTGGCTGGGTCATCAGAAGAGACTCCAATTGTTCTAGTGGCTCCTGTGTTGTCTGGACACATGGTGGGCAAGATCCGTGCCCTGGATGCTGACTCAGGGTACAATGCATGGTTGCGATATGAGATGCATGAGTTGACCGCTGGCCCTTGGCGTGTGGGGCTGTACAGTGGGGAGATCAGTACCACACGTGCCCTGGATGAGGTGGAGAGCAGAAGCAGCCAGACTCTCCTTGTGTTGGTGAAAGATCATGGCACACCTTCACTCACGGCCACAGCCACACTGAGTGTGTCACTGGTGGCAAGTGCCCAGGCTGTTAAGACTGACACCCTTTCCAGGACAGGTGAAAGCTCAAAGCCTTTGGTGGACAATGTCAATGTCTACCTGATCATTGCCATCTGCTCCGTGTCCAGCTTGTTCCTCCTAGCAGTAATCTTTTACGTGGCCTTGCGATGCCGTTGCCAGGCCAAGGAGGCCATGGTGTATGGTCCTGGCACAGCCACGCTGGTATGTGCCAGTGAAGTGGGCAGCTGGTCCTATTCAAATCGCCACAGCCACATCCTGGCAGGTGTGAGCGGGGAGGCTGGAGCCAAGAGTGACCTCATGGTCTTCAGCCCCAACATTCCTGTTTTTGCAGATAATGGGGAGGTAAGGAATGGGAAGGAACTGCTCCCAAATGCATCTGGAGAGGTGAGTCATGTGCAACTATTAGAATCCTTGAAAAAACACAATATATTTTTATTCTTCTAATACCATGTTTCTTGCGAACTGAATGACTATTTCTATATGCCAGTTTAGGATTAGTCTTGATGCAATAAATATGTTCAATATAGATTTAAAATGACATTCTATACATGCAGAGATTGCTTCTACATAAGCTAGAATAATTCCATGTTGGGTTTTTTTTGGGGGGGGTGGGGGTGGACAAACCAGGGCTCTTTTCTTTACCCTGATGCAATAAATTCTCCACAATAAGGAGTGCCCATATTCTGTGTAACCATAGGTTCATCAAAATAATGTTATTAGACTCCTTCAGGGTGTGGGTTTGTCCAGTTTGCTGCCATGGGAAGAAATGGAAATAAATCCTTTATCTTGTGAAAATATTATGGTCGTGTACTATATTTAGCAGCAAAAATATTTGATGACTACTTTCTCTTCTTTTAAAAAATACGCTACATATGTGCTGCCAGAAGGTTTGAATCCTTGGGTAGGTCCACCAGACATGTCAAGAATGTAGTCTTCCCAAGCTTTAATGTATTCTGTGGGAGAACCACCTGATGTAATTTTGCTAGGAATGCTCTCTGGAGCCAGAGCAGATATTGGCATGCTGTGATCTCACCTAGTCTCATGTGACATGAATATGTTTAAAACTGATTTTTCAGTTAATATTGGGGCAGTGCTTTTATCTGTCCCATAGCCAGACATGTTAACATGGTGTGTGGGTGTTTGTGTGTAGAAATAAGGATACATTTGGTGTTAGAGGAGGAAATGGTCCAATGTGCTTAAACTTATTTAATATTAAACAAATTAAAATCAATTAAGAAGTGTGCTAAGTGACCAAATACCTTGCCAATCAACCCAGGACTCTATGGGTGAGAATAACAGAAGGCAGAAGAAGCAAGATTACCTCATAATGAGCAGTCAGCTAGATTTACCCATGTGCTTTTCTTTCTTTCTTTCTTTCTTTCTTTCTTTCTTTCTTTCTTTCTTTCTTTCTTTCTGATATTTACAGTAAAAGTCTTTCCAGGTCTTCTCAGATTCCACTGTTTTCAGTGGCATCTCCCTTCTAGAAGGAGCACACAGAATTAGAGTCACTATTTTTTAATATGCATAGAAAGGAGAGGTGGAAATCCATGCCTTGATTCAGCAAGGGGCTTTCCAGCAAGACATGGAAGCCTTGGGGTGTTTATTCCAGCCTTTGTAAGAGTGACAGTGGCTCTTCCCAGAGGCCCTGGGATGGAGTAGGACAACAATGAGCTCAGGGAACCTCCTAGCTCACTGAAAACCCAACCCCTGCACAAAGCACTGCTGCTGTATTCCTAACTTTACAAGGCATCCACAGAGAACTGGTTGCTCCACGCATGATCTCCCAACTCTTAAAAGCTTTAACTGTCCTGGCTGACAGTTCACACCCACCCTTTTCCTTCAGAGAGTGCAGTCTAGCATTATCCCAAAGCCCAGTCATGGAGTAGCTTGCTTTTGTGGAATTCATTCATGGATAATCTACTGATCAAAACAAATATTTGTACATTTAAAAACAACAACAACCAAACACCCACAAATAGATGTCATTCGCTAGATAGCCCATAAAGAGAAATCAAGTAAATGAAACCTTCAGTGCATAGAAGATAAAATAAAACAGATACATTTAGCTGTATAAAATAACTTATATGGTCCTTCTACCGCCCATGCACCTGTCAGAGTAGTTTACAGCAATTTAAAATCACAATACAACAAAAATATATTACAATACATCAATAAAAAGCAACACATTGAAAGAAGCATTAAAACTGTTTACATTGCATATTGCGTGCAACCCAAAAGGGCCACTTGGCTTGTTCAGAGTGCCGTGTTCTGGGCTAGGTGGCAGTGGGTTTTCCAAGATCATCTGGTCAACACATGGCTGACATGAGAGGAATGCGACTATTTCTGTTGAATCTTATGCAAGGAAAACTCCATATTGGAAGCTTAAATATGACTAAAGGCATAGAATTGATTGGGGAATTGGGATATCTATGGATGACGATGGTCCATGGAAAATTTCAGGGACTGAAACAAGAAATGACATTTTCAAGAAGGGTCTATGTCAATAAAAGGGAATAAAAAGAAAAGAATGGATAAGCTGTAATTAATCAGAATTTGTTCTGTGATGTCTAAAGAGGAAGATAAAAGTTAAAGGTACAGCCACCGAGTTAATATGCTAGCAGAAACATGAACAAAGCACCTTAGTGTTCTTAAAGAAATAAATCATATATGAGACAGTGCCTACTATGACTCTCATGTCAGCCTTGAACCCAGTTGGAGGCCTTGAGATGAAGTCCTACATCCATCAATTGTAACATGATTATATTCATGAAACAGTTTTAGTTTGAAATGCTATGTGAATGCTAAGTGTTAATATAACTGAAGAGTTGGGAATGGCCACTTAACACTTCCCTTTCAGAAGCAGCCTCATGTAATGTGGCCCCTATTGAAGTGATCACCAGCCTCTCTTTTTGTATTCTTTAGGCTTAACTCTATAAAGTACAGCAATTTTTCCTAGTTTAATCCAGAACAAGTGGTTTTAACTAGGGGAAAATGTATGGAATGGAACCCTAAATTTGAGCAACATTTGGCACAGAAATTAATTTCTGAGGAATTTATGACATAGACTACTTTTTATTTATTTAAATGAAGAATTTTTTTGGGGGGGTGTGTGTGCATGCTTTTTCATCTCCTGTGTATTGCAAATTAGGCTGGATTTTTAAAAATCACCTGTAAAGACAACCCAGGCCCTAGCACAGAGGTGGTGGTTGGGAAAGCAAATTTCTTCTTAAACACCTTGAACTCATTTTATGAATGCAGGGAAGGGTCTGGGAGGTGAGACTAAAGGTGAGTTTATTTTCTTGCCATAGTCAGAATTAGAATTTCATAGGTAATAAAAGACTATGATGAGACATGACCTGCAAATCCATCTCTTTCACATTTTGCATTTGGTGTCATCTTAAAATATGCATGCCAGACCATGGTCGCAATTCTTTGAAGTGTTGTGTAGGGTATTTACAGTATTTTAAAACATGCAAAGTATGTGGAGGAGAAATTCCCCCAAACCTCATGAATTCCTCTATCTGAAGAGGCATGACTAAAGTGTACAAAATGATGCCTGGTGTGGAGAAGGAGACCCTTTACTCCCTTTCTCATAATACTAGAGCCTGGAGTCATTGAATGAAGCTGAATAATTGGAAATTCAGGATTTGCCACCACACAATGTGCTGATGGGCATCAACTTGGACAGCTTGAAGAGCTGATTCAGCAAATTCATGGAGGATGGGGCTATCAGGGGCTAATATTCATGAGGAGTATGTGCTGTCTCTGGTATCAAAGGCCATTTAAATGCCATTTCCTGGGAAACACAAGTAGAAGACCACTGTTCATATCCTGATTATAGGTTTCCCTTAGGTATCTGGTTGGTTACCATGAGAACTGGATGCTGAACTAGGTGGGCCTTTGGTCTGATCTGTTCTTATCTAGAAGCTTCCCCCACCTCATTTTCAGATTATGAAAGGTATAGTATGTCTGGAACCATTCCAGCTTAAGCAGCCCGAACCTTTGTCTTTGCGCTAAACAGGAAGCCCTAAGGGCTAACAGAAAAGGACTGCCCTCTCGTTTCCTGCTAAAGATTATCAAAAGTTTTTCTCTAGTCCCACACGTTCCAGATGTTGTTGCCATTATCCTGACCAGAGAATATAAAATGGATGCTCATGTGAAACTTGTATTCATGGACTGAGATATCGAAAGTACTTGCAACAGAAGTCTCAAATGGATCAGAATTGCCATGTTCAAAACTTCTCAGGAATTAACTATTAGGAGATCTAATCTAGCAGTCTGACACTGGGCATGTCTTCCTCTTGGCTAAAAAGGACGTGGTATTCTATCCCATCTTGACTTACTGGTTGTTTTTTTAATAATCCCATGTTGCAGCTCTTTACCACGAGCCATCTATTGTTCCACATCCCAGTTATACCCTTTGGTGTTACATAATCTGAAATTCATTGCAACACTATTTCTTGGTCCCAGAAAATCCTTTGAATTTCAATAAAAACATTAGACTCCCTTCTAACACAGAAAGAGGCAAGGACACCACAGGGAAGGAAAGAAGCAGCCACTCATCCAAGAACCAGCTTTTATTCACAACCCATTTTCACTTGTTGACAACAAAATGAACAACAAATTGCATGCAAAGCAAAGGAAGGAAGAAATGTAGAAGCTAGCAAATATCCTTGGAAGGCTCATGCTTTATACGGACGTGTGCACAAAATCCCACTCAATTCTAGGCAGAAGTGGGTGAGAATGAATTATTCTGCAGACCCTGAAGACGTGCTGCCAATCAGAGCAGGTCATGGATAGACTGGATGGCCAATGGTCTGATTCAGTATAAAGCAGTTGCATATGCTCAGTGTGTTTGTGTAGGAGCAGACCTTGTTCATGTGAGAGACACGCCCAACAATGGAGCTGGAAAAAGGGAAGCTGATAACATTTCAACCCCACCCACCGAAAAAAAAAGTTCTACCAGAAGAGGAAAGTAAAAAGGACATGACAGTTCACAGCAGTTTCACCAGACAATGCCATGTGAATTGTGGCATGTGAATGTGAAGATGGAAGTTTTTCCTTCTGGAAGTACATATGGCACCTAAGAGTGTGCAGATGAAGAATGAAAACAGTGATGGTGCATAACTGACATAAAGGGGGAAAAGATTCCAAAAAGGACCCGAGTTAATGGAATATAATAAAATAAATGAAACTTGAATAGAAAGACAAATGGAGGCTAAGGAATTTACGTGGAAGTAAAACTGTATCAAATAGTATGTATTGGCACAGGATTATTAAAAACATTTACTTGAAAACGTAAAAGGTAATAAACAGTCTGATTCTCCAGTTCAAAACTCAGTCACAAGGTGTCACTGTTGTTTAAGGAGTTTTTTAGGAAGACTGAAAATTCAGAGCTCCTCCCTCAAATGTGCTGAATATCCTGTCTGTCAGATACACAGCAGAGACATCAAACATTAGCTGCAATACCAGAGTCAACTGAGCTCTTAGCCATTGGTTTGGAGGAACGTCTTGGACTCTGCTCATCACTTCCTCAAAAAAGGCAAGACATTGCTGGGATTTGTATCTGAATTTGTCATGCTTGCATGGAAGACAAATTCTGGAAAGAGATGTCTACTGCAGCTGGTTCTTCTCCACACAGCCTGGGAGATGGGGAGCGGCCAGCTCCATTATTCTGTGTCAGAGGAATCCCAGCATGGCACCTTTGTGGGCCGCATCGCCCAGGACCTGGGGCTGGAGGTGGGAGAGCTGGTGCCTCGGCTGTTCCGAATGGTGTCCAAAGGACAGGAGGAGTATTTTGAGGTAAATGTACAGAATGGGATTTTATTTGTGAATTCCCGGATAGACAGGGAGGAGTTGTGTGACAGGAGCGCTGTGTGTGTTATTCACCTGGAGGCCCTTGTAGATAAACCCCTGAAGGTTTTCCACGTGGAAGTGGAGATCACCGACATAAATGACAATGCCCCCATTTTCCCTGTAACAGAAAAGCAATTTACTATTGCAGAGTCTAGCTCTCGTGATTCACGTTTTCCTCTAGAGGGAGCCTCTGATGCAGACATCAGTGCAAATTCGCTACTTAGCTACAGACTTAGCACAAATCCACATTTCAGTCTAGAGACAATAGAAAATCATGAACGTGGTGCATCTTTATTCCTTGTTTTAAACAAACCTCTTGATAGAGAAGAATGTGCAGCTCACCATCTTTTACTCACAGCAGTTGATGGAGGCCAGCCCCAGCTCACTGGCACCGTCCAGCTGGTAATCAAAGTGCTGGACGCAAATGACAATCCTCCTGTATTTAACCAGTCAGTTTATAAAGTCCATTTATTAGAAAACTCAGAGAATGGGCTATTAGTAATTAAGCTAAATGCTACCGATTTAGATGAGGGAACAAATAAGGAGATCACATATACATCAAGTACTTTTTCTCCTGCAAATGGAAAAGAAAAGTTCGTACTTGATCAAAAGACTGGTGAGATTCACGTGAAAGGAAATCTGGATTTTGAAGAAAAGAATTTTTATGAAATACAAGTTGAGGCTAAAGACACGGGGAATCCCCCATTATCAGGGCATTGCAAAGTTTTGATTGAGGTTCTAGATGTAAATGATAATGCACCTGAAATTTCAGTGATGTCTCTGCTGGTACCCGTTCCAGAGGACTCCCCTCTGGGGATGGTGGTGGCCCTGATAAGCATATCAGACAGGGATATTGATGCCAATGGACAAGTGAGCACTTCCTTATGGCCACATGGAACCCCCTTCAAGCTACTTTCCACCTTCAAGAATTACCATTCACTGTTGCTAGCTCAGCCCCTGGATAGGGAACAAGAGGCTGAGTATAGGCTGGTAGTGACTGCCCAGGATCAAGGGACTCCATCACTGTCAGCCAGCAGCACCTTGGTGGTGCCCATCAGTGATGTGAATGACAACGCACCTGCTTTTGCGCAGCCCTCCTACACAGTCTTTGTGAAGGAGAACAACCCACCAGGTGCTCACATCTTCACGGTGTCTGCTTCGACCCAGATGTGGCTGAGAACAGCCTGATCAGCTACTGGCTGGACGAGAAGCTCTGGCCCCTGTCGAGCTACATCTCGGTGCACTCAGAGAGTGGGAAGCTCTATGCTCTTCAGCCCTTGGACTATGAGGAGGTGAAGCTGCTGGAGTTCCAAGTGAGGGCCAAGGATGCTGGGCTGCCCTCCCTGTGTGGCAATGTGACGGTGCAAGTCTTTGTGGTGGATGAGAATGATAACACACCTGTAGTGTATGGGACAGAAGTGATTCCCATCTCTTTGACTGTTCCTGTGACTGCTGGACAGGTGGTGGGCAAGATCCATGCCATGGATGCTGACTCAGGCTACAATGCATGGCTGCGCTATGAGATGCACGAGGCAATCAGCAGCCCTTGGCGAGTGGGATTATACAGCGGGGAGATCAGCGCCGCACGTTCCCTGGATGACGCAGAGGGCAGCTACAGCCAAAGGCTTCTCGTTCTAGTGAAGGACCATGGCAAGCCAGCTTTGTCATCCACAGCTACTTTGAGTGTGTCCATGGTGATGAATTCCCAGGCTGTCCATGGCGACGCTCACCTTTCAAGGAAGGGAGGCAGTCCAAAGCCACTGATGGAAAATGCCAATGTTTACTTGATCATTGCTATCTGCTCAGTGTCCAGTTTGTTCCTGCTGGCGATCATAGTATACATGGCGCTGCGATGCCGTTGCCAGGCCAAGGAGGCCGTGGTGTATGGTCCTGGGACAGCCACACTAGTCCGCGCCAGCGAAGTTGGCAGCTGGTCATATTCAAATCGTCACAGCCATCTTCTGGCGGGCATGGGCGGGGAGGCTGGTGCCAAGAGTGACCTCATGGTCTTCAGCCCCAGCATTCCAGCCTGTGTGGAAAATGGGCAAGTGGGAGTTGTGAAGGAACCAGTTCCAAATTCATCTGAGCAGGTGAGTTATAAGAATTGATACTGTGATCAATGAAAAAACTACTATGAAAAACCTATTCTGTTTTGGCATGTGTGACATGGTTGGGTATTTGACTTTTCAATAATTAAAAGTATTACTTTGATTCACACTTATGATTTTTGGTAGACTTTAATAGAATGTTGCAGGGGTAAAGGTAGTGTTATTCTTATTTTATAGGCAAATGCCACTGGCCTCATTCCACTTATACCTGTGAAGGTGATCTTTTGGATGTAAAAATAGCCAGTGTTTTTGCTGTTGTTGGAAGCAAGAATATGCGCCAGCATACCCCTGAAACATGCTTCTCTTTCTGTTCACAGTATTTGGACAACCAGTGCTTGACTGTGTTTAATATTGGTTATTTGGCTTTTGAATTAAAATAAGGAACAGTGTCGCAAATTAGTTGTGGCCAAGTATCAAGCATTATCAGTGCATCCTAACGAAACCTCAAACCATTCCTCAAACCTACACAGGAATGAAGGACAAGTTTAGATGATCCATCTTCAGAAAGAGGAGGCTCTGAATGGATTCTATTTCATTTTTGGTGACTTTCCTCATGACATGGCAAGTGGTTCTGTCAAATCCCTGGTCAGTTTGTGCCATATCCCACTACCTAAAGTCCATTTAGGTCCTTCATTTTTCTGGAGTTCATTTTGGACCTTACTCTGTGGTAGATATAGTAACAAAGAAATTTCCCCCCCATCACCATGCACATCTGTGTCCAGCACATCTGTTTATGTGGTGAGACAGCTGCTTCATGTGGGTTTTCAGACAGATCTTATGACGCCTCAGCAACCTCTGGCGATATTTTTGCTAAGTACCTCAAGGATAAAATTGCTCATGTTTGTACTGATATGGCTGTGGTGTTGAGTTTAGTAAATTACCCGTTGTTCTATGGTCTTGCCGATATTGTGTAGATGTGTTCCATTTATTATAGTCTAAGGATGCTGGAAGGTTGCTTGGAGTTTTAATTTAGTCATTTACTGTATTTATATTGACCACCCATTTTTGGGGTGGCTCACAAAGGTAAAGTGATAAAATGCACACGAACATGCATGCAACAGCAACAAAAATAGTGTGACTTAACAATTTTTGCTCTTTCTCACTTATAATATCTTCCCATCAAGATATGATGGGTACACTCCAGGAAATCGTGAATGTGTCACTGAAAGAGGTAGCCTGGGAGTAGCCACTGGGTACATCCTTTGGGTTTCTACACAATGTGCTTCAGATGTTGGTAAGGTAGAAAAAAGCCCTCTCTTGAAAATCTTAAAATGTATGCAGGCTCATATGGAAGAATATAATGTTTCAGACAATCAGGTCCACCTCCAAAATCTGAGCATTCAGATTCAGGACTGAATCCTAGAGTGTAACTAAACTACAAAGCTGAGTCTTCAAGCAAAGTACAACCACATCCAAGGCAGGTTGAACCCCATTTCTCCAGCTTGCCTTTCTATTGGCCAGGAGCTTGTCTGGCTGAATCTACAGTTTGTGCACCATCTTCCAGTCCATTACTAAAATCAGACACTAATTCTGAAGGCAGTTTCCTTGGATTTAAATGGAAAAAAGAAATAGAGTTGGGTGGCATCAGCATATTGGTGATGATGAACCCCCAAACTCCTGGACACCTGACCCAGCAGTTTCATGAAATGTGAGAAACAATGTGGAATTTTGACAGATACACTATTGGCCATTGGCCAAAGCCTTAAACAGGAGTCCTCCAGACCATGTTCTGAAACTTTCCCTCTAAGAAGAAACAGAACTACTGTAAAACAATGCCTTCCAGTCTTATCACAGCCAGGCAGTCCTGAAGGATACCATGGTCAAGAGTGCCTAAGCTGCAAAGGGATCCAGCAGAACCAACAGGATGGATTTTCTCATTTGATTGCAGAAATAATTTTGAATATAGTTTTTCAAACACACGCAGAACTGGACCATTTAAGGAAACACCAGAGACTACACGCCAAATTCACTTACCTGGGAATAAGTCCAATCAAACTACATAGGGATTACTTCTGGGTAGCCATGTAAAGGACTGCACTATTAGAGGCCCACAATCTTCTCTAGTTTATACTCCTGTCTATATATTTTTGTGAATATACCCTTGCTGAATAAAATCTTCCAGTTTCCTTAAGCCACCTTTAACCAACTTCCTTGCCACTGATAATAAAGTAAATGTAAAAGTATACATGAATTTATATTTGGTGTATGTGAAGTAAAAAAGGAATCACTTTGGAATATACCTAATTAAAATACAGTCACAACCACATTTAAAAGAAAAAGCTCAATATAAATGCCTGATTGAGATCAGGAAGAAAGTATACGGTAACTTACAATAACTTACAAATATATGACAACTTACAATTTAATAAACAGCACCTACTACTGGGTGTTGTTGTCGTTATATCCCCCCTTTCCCCCTGACAGGGACTCAGGGTGACTGACAAGAGTGTTAGAAGGCAAATCCATTTACAGTTGTGTCTTCTTCATTTTCTATTACAGCATCACACCAAAACTAAAAGAGCCTCATAAAATAAAAAGAGAATGCCTATAGCTCTTGGCTAAAATTTTATCTTGCATTAAAACCACTCTTCTCGGCTAAATTAGCATTCCTTGCAGTGTAATCCTAAACATGTTTGTTCGATAGCAATAACAGAAAGTTCCACCATGTTGGATGGGGCGTACTCCCAGGAAATGTGCATAGGACTATAGCCTTAATTGATTCATCTTCCAATGAAAACATCTGTGCCCATTCTCACCAGTTAAATCCGTGAGATCTGGGCTGGATGTCTGAGCCTCTGAGGTGGCAGATAAGAGGGGTGTGCATGGCCTCCATGATACACCAAGTATGTATCTTGGCATTTTGGAAAATTCTGGTCTGTTTTTGAGTTGTGCTCTGTTCTCTCTGATTCAATCTGTAATTTGGGTTGGAGCCGCTCTGTATAAAACAAGCCTCTCTGTTCCACCTTCACTATAACAGAAAATCTAAAAACGGCTACAACTTTCCTTTTTTGGTCAAGGTGGATGAAATTTACAGGTGCAGGAGCCCCCCCTCACCCCCAATGGATCAAGCCTGCCAAATTGCAGAATAGTTCTAGGGGCTGTTTGTGGTGGATGTAAAAGGGATTCAGTTTCCTCCATAATCCCATAGACGTGTGTGTGCGCGCAGGTGTTTGCCTCTTGCTCTTTCTTACCTTAAAATAATTAAGAGGTGACTGACTGCTGTGTATTCTTGCATGCGTTCTTTTAAAACCTTGCAGCTTTACACATGCTTTTCCAATGCTTGTTTGTGTTCTCTGATAGGCCTTATAGTGTGAGGCTGTCTCCAACAGGGCCCTCAATGTTCTGAAGAACTCTGGAGATTTCTTTGCTAAAACCAAGCAACATGGGATTTCCTCCCCGCCAACATAACTGTTTAAAAAATCCCCCACTGCTGTGCTGTAACAAAAGAAAAAGGAAATCCCTGAGCTCTTTATTGATCTGTAGGCAACAATTTCAGACCCTCCAAGTGTCCCTTTGTTGCAGGGAAGTCCAAGATTTACAGCAGTCATCCCGGTTTCTGATTTGATCCCGGAATTGATCCTGGAATGTCCTGCTTTTCCTTAGGGTGCCCTTATTTTCATTGGAGAAATGTTGGTGAGTATAAACTTTTCTGGGACAAGTGGCATATGTTGTTGTTGTTTAGTCGTTTAGTCGTGTCCGACTCTTCGTGACCCCATGGACCAGAGCACGCCAGGCACCTCTGTCCTCCACTACTTCCCGCAGTTTGGTCAGACTCATGCTGGTAACCTCGAGAACACTATCCAACCATCTCGTCCTCTGTCGCCCCCTTCTCCTTGTGCCCTCCATCTTTCCCAGCATCAGTGTCTTCTCCAGGGAGTCTTCTCTTCTCATGAGGTGGCCAAAGTACTGGAGCCTCAGCTTCACGATCTGTCCTTCCAGTGAGCACTCAGGGCTGATTTCCTTAAGAATGGATGCGTTTGATCTTCTTGCAGTCCATGGGACTCTCAAGAGTCTTCTCCAGCACCATAATTCAAAAGCATCAATTCTTCGGCGATCAGTGGCATATAAATATTTTTAAATAGTAATAAATAAAAAAATAAAAGAGTCAGCAGCAAGGCAGTCACCTGTAGGTGCTGCAGTAGTGGCTTGCGAGTAAAAGCAGATATGGCTACTTTCTAATGAAAC